AGTTTAAGACCAGTAAACAGTTGAGTGATCATCAGCTGAGACTACATCCCGAGGCGTTCCCCGACAGACCATGGCTTGAGTGCGCGCGACCTGACTGTGGATATAAGACTAAAATGGAGGGCGACTTCAGCCGCCATGTTGTCAAACACACGGATAAGTACGCGTGCAGTGAGTGCGACAAGAGGTACGGCCGGGAGTCGGAGCTCCAGCACCACATGCGCTCGCACGATGATACGCTGAAGTACCGGTGCCAGTGGCCCGGCTGTGATAGGCTGTTCACGTCGCAGACAAATTATAAGTACCATATGAACGGTCATACGGGAGAGACGGTGTACACGTGCGAGTGGGAGGGCTGTGGAAAGACATCACTCAGTCTGAAGGCTATTAAGAATCATATGTCCAAAGAGCATAAGTGTTAGGGACCGCCCGGTGCCCATAGGCCTACAGTATGCTGTTGTGAGTGGACATGCATGTGAATAATTATTAGGTTTAATTAGGTTTTATTGTACAGTAATATAACTTTAAATTTATATTTAATTACGAAATTAATGATAATTATTATATTTTTTTAACTTTACCTGTACAGTATATGAAATAACCAAATGCCAGTAAAATAAACTGAATTTATAAGCATATTGTGCTTAATTACACACTGTTTTTGTCATTAAATCTTATTAAAGTTTTGTTTGCAATTAAATTAGATAACAATATTTATTTTTTGTTGCTGAATATACTAGCAGTGTAATGTTATGAATTGGTACGGCTATACTTCAAGTACTATGAGTGCAACCTTTCAATGTTTTATAAAGTGTTTGATCAATGTCAAATTTTAAAGTTAATTAGTTTTATAAATATAGGAAGTTAGTCTATTAAAAAACTAAAGTATTTATGATAAATGTTTTAATTAATTAATTTTGTTTATGAAATGCAATTGATATAATGAATTACAAACATAGGATTCAATCATTTCTTTGGTTATATTTTTGTGTCACTTTTGTGTTATTANTTAATTTTGTTTATGAAATGCAATTGATATAATGAATTACAAACATAGGATTCAATCATTTCTTTGGTTATATTTTTGTGTCACTTTTGTGTTATTAGTATATCTTGTGATTCAAAGAATTGAAAATCAAAAAATTACAAATTTCTGTAGATTTAAAATAATGAAATGTCGCTCAAAAGTTTGTAAATATAATTCTGTGAACTGTGTTTGCAATAAACACCAAATTAATGGTAATTATCATTTTAATTGCATCTATTTTGTACTAAAATCAGATAATATAATTTTTATAATAGTTAAAATGCTAGACATTATTGTATTTTCTAATTTTCAGTCCCTTTAGAGTCTGTGAAACATTTACGACGAGCCCATACAGCAGCTCAAGAGATCTTCAATTATTTGTCCATAACTTTGAATAAAACAGATTCTGTGGACAATGAAACCAAAACTAAAATCTTAACACAAGTGAGTGATATGAAAAAGTATGTATCATCAAGAATATTTTTAAAATTATATTAAAATAATAATTGCTTGCAAATTAGTGTAATACAAATGGAAGTACAAAATGCGAGTCAAATACTTGGATTAAATATCTATAAAAATGATAAACTTAGGAAAATATCGCAACAAATTTACTCAAAAGTGGATAAACTTCAGAATCCAGAGAAAAGTCTTTGCAGTAATATTTCAAAACTTGTTTGCAGTCTCAATGTCGGGTTTGGGTTTGCATCGGGAATACATGA